CTTTCCCCCCCTTTTTTTTGCATTTTGCAAATTTATTTTATTTTTTGCAAATTTATTTTATTTTATTGTCTGGGGACGGCAATAAAGACGGACGCTTCCCTGACTATGCCTGGGGTCATTTTAGAATACCCACATGCATCTTACATTTTTTTAAAAATGATTTTTTTTCTTTGATTTTTTTTTCTTGTCTAAGGGGGCAGCACTCATATCTGGGGGGCATTGCCCCCCAATACTGCCCATGGCTATGGGCCTGCTCTGCTCCAATGACACTAGCTCTGTATGGCCAATCAGTGTAGTGCTGAAGGTTACTTCTTGAGCCATTCACACTTGTGCTGTGGAGACCTGCAAGGCTCAGTCTTATTCCTAGTGCTCTTCCTGCCATTTGATGAGGTTGTCCAGACCTTTGGGAGTGAGGTGTCATCAATATGTGTATGATGGCCAACTCTATTTCTAATTTTTATTTGAATCCACAGGCTACTCTGAGCCAATGCCTGGAAGCAGCAATTGGCTGAATGAGAGCTAATAAATTGACGCTCAGTGCAGATAATACAGAGGTGCTTTTGGTCAATAAAGTAAGCAGTCATATGTTGAGGAGTCAGTCTATTCCGGATGGGTTGGCACTCTGTCTCAAGGGGCAGGTTCTCAGCTTGGGAGTGCTTTTACTCTTTGTTTGCACAGACCTCCTGTATAGTACGTAGCACTTTTCACCAGCTTTGGCTGCTGCCGGGCATCTTACTGATGTCTATGATTTTGTGATCTGGCTGGACAATTAGAAAGGAGCTGTATTTTTACATGTTTACTTCAAGAATGTGAGGATTAGGGTTTAATGGCTCCAAACTATATATATGTATATATATAGCTTTAGTTTATGTGTTTATGCTGTAAGTATTTATGTGTGCTTGTACAAAGAAGGTAACAGATAAATTATACAAATAGATACATCCCTGCTTGGGGAAGATCTGACTGGGACTTCTATATGTTTCTCTGATGTTGCATTGCTCACATGAATAGACTGCTTGCACGAGCAGTGATTTTTGCACACCAGTTATCAAATACACAATTTGACACCTCTAACATTAGAAGTCTTTGGCAGAGGCCTATGTATTGAATGTCCTTTTGGTGCTTTATAGATGAAGTAATAATGGGGGGGCATATGAAATCCATCATAGTGGGGTTGAATTAGGAGAGAATGCTGTGAGCAGGCTATGGACACCCTGGGAGAGAAATCTGCTGCTGTGGGCGTATCTGCATTGCAAACTGGAAATGATTTAACTGATCCGTGGGGTCCCTCCATCTCTGGGAAGTGTTTTCTTTGAGGGGATTTGGCATCCCTGACAATGAATTATCTGTGGTCTCACAACACCACAACTGGTAGTGGGTGGGTGGGAAACTAAAGATTGTTAGGTGGAGCTGACATAGTGTGTTGTTTTTTTAACTCAGGGCGTTGGAGCAATTTGTACAAATTGCCCTACAACTGGATTGGGACAGGCCATGTGGTTTACCAGGGAGCTTTCTACTACAACCGGGCCTTCACCAAGAACATCATCAAGTATGACCTGCGGCAACGCTATGTGTCAGCCTGGTCCTTGTTGCATGATGTGGTCTATGAGGATACCACACCATGGAAATGGCGGGGCCACTCAGACATCGACTTTGCTGTGGATGAGAGTGGCCTGTGGGTGATCTATCCTTCCGTGGATTATGACTATTCCCAGCAGGAGGTAATTGTGGTGAGCAAGCTGGACCCTGGTGATCTGTCCATCCGCAGGGAGACCACATGGAAAACGGGCCTCCGGCGTAACTCCTATGGGAACTGCTTCATCATCTGTGGCATCCTCTATGCTGTGGATGTGTATGATGCTAAGGAAGGGCAGGTGACCTACGCCTATGATACCCACACAGACACTGAAGCTAATCCTAAATTGCCTTTCATTAATGAGTTTGCATTCACCACCCAAATCGACTATAACCCTAAGGAGAAAGTCCTCTATGCCTGGGACAATGGCCACCAGGTCACCTACAGACTGCACTTTGTTGCCTGAGTGCTTGTTCCTCCCTTGCTGCCCAACAGAACGTCTGCTGGGATAAAGCCTCCTCCCTATTCCAATACTGGCAAGTAGCCCCAGATGGAGAACTAGTCCCAGGACCATTCATGAGTTAAAGGCCATGCCATGGAGTGAGGCCATCCGTGGCCTTCTTGGAAAAATCCAAAGAGCTCTCTGGTGATCACCTTTTTCAACATGCTGAAGGGGAACAGCAGGAGGGAAAGAAGCATCTTGCTGAAGAGACATGTTTTACTCTTTCCTTTGTTAAGCCTCTCACAGTGAACGCTTGCTCATTCCCTCTGTCCTGCTAAGATATTGTGCTTCTGCATTTTACAGGGCAGGAAGTAGGCAGCAATGGACAACAGGTGATAGTGATGCAATGTTGAATTCCACAGACTGGATCTAGGGTAATGCCTACTAGTTCCTGCTCAAGTGTGGTGTTGTGACCTAGGCCACCCATTATAACCATGTACCTGTCCCCTTTCATTGGGCCAACCTACTTGTGACTGTGGGGTTGTTCATGTTGAGCAATACAGATCCTGGTGATCAGATGTCTATCCAAAGTGCAGGAAGAGAGAATGTAGATGTGGCTAAAGTTTCCCCCTGAATCTTTACAGGGGAGAGTCTCTTGTATGCTTTTGAACTCCCAAAAGCCAAAGAAGAAAGGGGCTGGTGCATCCCCCTTGCCCAGCACATCTACCTTTTTCCGGCCACCTTTCCCGAAACTGTCCATAAGAAGGTCTCCGGGTGTTTTATGAAACCCACCGCACCCCATAAGCAAAAGTGGTTCTTTCCTTACAGATCTATCTCTTGTTCTGCTACTGAAGCTTAAAATGTTATCCTGATAAAACTATCTGAAACCTTGATCTGAGTTCCGCCCCCATCTCCACGCCCCCTTTTCAGGATCTTGTTTATTTAATGTTCATACTCTTTTTTAATTAACTCTGTTCAGTTTTTCCTGCCCATGGCCAACCGTAAGGAATGAGTCCTGCATCAGTAGGCCTCGGTTGTTCCAGGCTTTTCGGGTGGATCATGGCCCTCTCATCATGATGCAAAGTGACTCTGGGATTTCCCCAGCTCTCTTTAGATATGACTTGGAGAGGTGTGTGTGTGATTCAGAGAAGGATAAACAGGACCTCCTTTGGAACTCACATTTGCTCCATATTACATTCACTCTAGACTTCCATTAGCAGAGCCCCGAGACCTCTTTGAGGAGTGCAAGCTATCCCCATTGTGTGGGTGGTGGGTGGGGAAACATGGTAGTTGTATCTGTACAATTGTTTATTTAAATATATGGAGTTTTGGCATTGCTCCTTGTTAAATACTGATGCTGGGCTTAGAAGAAATGCCCCATGGAGAGGTGAGGGAAGCAGGCTGACTTGGACTTTGCCTGTTCAGAGGAGGGGCAGAAGGTGTGGATGACTTTGAGAGCCACTGTAAATTTGCCTTATTCAATTTAACGTGCATGTCCTTTTTATGAACACGCTGATGCCAAAGAGATCTCACTTTTTTACCTTTGTATGCTGAAATTATTTCCCTTTGGGTGTGGAGGTCTGGACTCAGGCTTTGAGTTCTTGGCATTCTTTAACACTGAAAAAGGAAAGAGGAGGGCAGCTTTTTATTGTTTTAGCTTTCATGATTCTGACACTTATCTGTATTTGCATCACCTTCATAAGCTTATCTCTGCACCCCAAAAGGCCTAGGACCTTTGCCGTGTAAGCTGGGCTTCTCAGGGTCTTAATGCAGTGCTGTGGGCCTTTGAGGAGGGTACGTGCAGCCCCTTTTGGCTCTCTCCAGTTTTCCTCTGGCAAGGATTCAGGCTTGCCTAATGCCTGCCGGTTGCTAATGCCCAAGACAGACAGGAGAGCTGGGCAGGGGGGGTTTCAGAGGTCTGCTTTTGCATGAGAGTATTAATGTTTTCATTTTTGTAAGTTTGAAATTAAATTCCTTTAAACATAATGTAACTTTTTCTTCTAACAAACTTTTGGGGGAAAGTCCTCTTGGTGCTGATGACTGCAATTTTGCTGGAGCGGGGAATAGATGGCATGAGTACACACCAACTGCAGATGCATGAATGGCAAAGCGCCCTCATCCACAAACACACACCAAGAAGTGGATGTGTTTTCACAGAAGACAAGTAAATATTCTCACTATGCATTTAGAGTGGAATAACTTTGGATGGGATTCATGTGGGTAGCCGTGTTGGTCTGAAGCAGTAGAACAAAATTTAAGTCCAGTGGCACCTTGAAGAAAGAAGTGTGCATGCACACGAAAGCTTATACCTTGAATAAAACTTTGCTGGCCCTAAAGGTGCCACTGGACTCAAACTTTGTTCTGGATGGGACTGTACTCTTAGATATGGAAACAACTGTCAAAGTTTCACTTACCTCCCACACCTCCAACATACATCCACCTTCCATCCAGAAGTTATATCTATGGGCTCGGCCATGTCGTCCGCCAACTGCAGCAGTGAATTGAATCATATGAGACCTACTCCTTTCCCTGTATTGGCCAAATCCCAGCAGGGGCCTTGGAGGACTGTCTTCCACTTAGCATATTTCCTTCTCCAGTAGTAGCTGCCCAAAAGGGGGGGGGAGAGGGATAAAACTTAACTCCAGTTTGTCTTCCCAGGAGGAAATACAAAGTCCTCACCTGCCCTCCTTGCGCCATAGAAAGCCTGCCTGGATCAGCCTGAGGCAAGGTGTAACTTGGGAAGCAGAGGGGATAACTCACTTCTGCTCTGCTATTGTCTGAAAGCCTGTTCCCCAAGGACGTTATTCCATTTTAAGTCTTGAGGACAATTCAAAAATGAGAGCCGATGTGGTGTAGCTGTTAAAGTGCCCTGCTAGGACTAGGCAGGCCCAGGTTCAAATTCCCCTCTCAGCCATTAACCTCACTGTGTGCCTTGGGCCAATCACTGTCTCCCAGCCTAACCACCTCATGGGTTGGGTATGAAGATAAACTGGAGGTGGGGAGAATTATGTGTGAGTGCCTTAGATGAAAACTGGGATTAAAAAAGGATATAAATACAGAAACTCACAAGCAGTTTACCCACACAATGACCAGAGCTGCATGTGGCATTATGTATCCCTCGTAGACAGTCAGGAGAAGGTGGGCAGCTCTATAGATTTGAAGAGTTTGGGTGTTCATCCTGCAAGTGCCAGCAGCTGGTCTGCTTTTCCTGATGCCTCATGTGCCAGCTACCATTTTGGTGAGTCCATTGGTGCAGACCCTGCCACTGAAGTGGGAAGGGGCACAGCCAACTGTCCAGTGTTGCAGTTCCACCTGTGTTGCAGACACTGCCAGGAACATTAGCTTTTTATTGAAATGCACTCAGGGCCGGCTCCAGCTTATTTTGCACCCTAGGCGAGGATCCATTCTGCCCCCCCCTGCGCCCACCAATTTTCAAAAATAAATGCATTTTAGGAAGAATGAAAAATACAAATAATCAAGAAACTCCCAGAGTACGAGGCCGGGTGCAGTTTGGTGCCCCTAAGGGCCGCCCTGCTCTAGGCGATCGCCTAGTTCGCCTAGTGAGTGAGCCGGCCCTGAATGCACTGTACTGTGATGGAGCCTGTGCTTTGCTCCAATAACCTTTTACATGTTGGTTGTAAATTTGGGCTCCTGGGATCAATGTCAACTTGCTGAGCAAGATCACTGCAGGGTCAAGAGCAAGGCTCTTTGTACCAGTCTCCTCTTTCTAGGAGGGTCTGCCTAGCAATGGGCTGTCATAGAATACTGTAGTTCACCTAGACATCTGGTCTGTTTGTCCTGCTCCTTTAGGTACTACTTCTCCCACTAGAAGCAACTTCCTCAGGATGCTGGAAAACTTCTTCAGTTGCAGCACCCAAGAGCGTAACTACCCTGCTTCGAATGACCTCATATCTTCCAACGAGAATCTTTTCACTGGAGACCTCTCAGATCATCTCCCCCCCCCCCCCCCCCCTTTTTTTTTCCCGGAAAAGGGAGGATTGGCCTTTGGGCTTTAATTTGCACAGCAGCCCTTTTGTTGTCTCGACCACAGATGGTGTCAGAGGGTGTGCTGGGCCTTGGGAAGTTTCCTTTGTGTATGGTACAATCAGCCCTTCTCATGGCACACATACACATGTCCTCCGCCCTGCAGAATGCATCTCGACTCTGAAGCATTCTGTTGATCTGCCTCCTCCTCCTCCTCCTATGTGCCACTCCTGATGCCCAGCAGCAAGACCACAGGACAGAGGGAGGAGGAAAATGCTGTTCACCAATATGGAGAGGCTGTCCCAGCAGCATGTAAAGTGAAAAGTAGCTCTGTGTGAGGGCAACCAAAATTCATCAGCCTAGAAAGCAATAAGCAGGAGAGAAGCCACACAGCAGTTTCATAAGAGCCAAGATGTTCTTCCTATAAAATGCTTCACAGTCACAGCTCAGTCGTCACCCCAGAATAGCAACATGTATGAAGTTACCTTTTGCTGAGTGAGAGTGAGAGTGAGAGTTTGCTGAGTTAGCCTAGCTTAGTCTTGTTCCCTCTGAGGGGCAGCAGCTCACCAGGGTTTTAGGCAAAAAAGGGTCTTCCCCAACAGCTGAGATCCTTTAACTGAAGATGCAGGGACTTAATCTGGGACCCTCTGCATGCAAAGCAGAGGCCATGCATCCCTCCCCCCACCCACCATGTCTGTAAATCCTGAGAACAGATTCAGTCTCTAACAAAGGCTGAAGTTTATCCCTTCCAAGTTGGCTTTTCTTTTCATCAGGTTCATCTATAGTGATATGCTTTGCTCTCTGTAACTTTACTAAATCAGACAATCAGTAGTTAAACTTAAATGAGGTGTGCTAGACAATAATTTGTTAGGTTCAATCAAAATACTTTTCAGGACCTCAGCACCTCCTAACCAGTTTGGTGTAGTGCATAAGTGTGCAGACTCTAATCTGGGAGAACTGGGTTTGATTCCCCACTCCTCCACTTGCAGCTGCTGGATGACCTTGGGCAAGCCATAGTTCTGTCAGAGCTGTTCTTGAAAGAGCAGTTCTCAAAAGAGCTCTCTCAGCCCCACCTACCCCACAGGGTGTCTGTTGTGGGGAGGGGAAGAAGAAGAAGAAGAGATTGGATTTATACCCTGCCCTTCACTACCCAAAGGAGTCTCAGAGTGGCTTACAATCTCCTTTCCCTTCCCCTCCCTACAGCAGACACCCTGTGAGATAAGTGGGGCTGAGAGAGCTCTGACAGAAACTGCTCTTTTTCAAGAACAGCTGTGCCAGAACGATGGCTTGCCCAAGGTCATCCAGCAGCTGCAAGTGGAGGAGTGAGGAATCGGTTCTCCCAGATTGGAGTCCGTGCACTTAACCACTACACCAAAAGGAGTTTGTAAGCCGCTCTGAGACTCTGAGTAAAGGGCAGGATATAAATCCAATCTCTTCTTCTCTTCTATTAAACTAAGCTGTACAAAAGCCAAGTTGTTTGATCAAAGAAAACTCTTATCCTTATCATTGTGGAAGCAAAACAAGCAAGATAGGACTGAAGAAGTGATCCACCGTAAATCAGTTAAAATGTAATTTGCAAAGATTGCAGTCTGATTTTCATGACAACATAAATGTGTGATCTGATGG